GGTCCCTACCATTTTCCGTACTTCTCATATCAGTAATGGAAGGATTATCAGATATCAAAAAGCACGACGTGGGAACGCTGATATTGATAGGGGATGGAACCTATTCTAGCGCCATATTGATTGAAAGTTCGATAATTTGATACCACTCTGTGATATATGATGATCAGTAACGATAGTATTATGGTAACAGCTCGTAATCAACAGCTACTAAATGAAGAATATGTAGTAAAACAGATTGCAAATGGAACACTACAAAAAAACTTTTAATCCGAATTTCCGAATTTTTTTATCCGAATTTTATCCCCAGGAATATCTCCAGTCAGGGGTAGTCGATATATCGATTTTCGAATCTGTAGAATGAGCAACTTGGAAAATATGCACCCATAGTATGATGCAATAACTGGTTCATTGGAACTTGCTTTAATTTCACAAACGTTCGCAATACGTATCGATTAATCGATTGATCCATGACTAATCGATTAATCGATTCCTAACGTCTTTCTCGGATCCGAGCATCCTTTTTTACCCGAATCACAGACTTTAGGGAAAGGGGCAATCTTAAATCTTTATGATAGATTGCTTGTATGGAAGTTGTAAAAATTTATTTGGATTGGGACATTGCAAGATCAATTCAGTAAACAATACACAGATCAATATCTATTGGAGATTGGGATCGGTATCAGCACAGCGTAATTAAAATTTTTTTTTTGTAAAAGATTAACTTACGTTATCGAAATCATCCACAGACGAACCAGCATCGAGTAAAGTCTGTACACATTCGAGATGTCCTCGGGCAGCTGCGCAATGTAATGCGGTCTCCTCGTCCTGAACATGTAACAGACAGTCGACAGTGGGTTGGAATGCCACTGTTACGGGCAGTTGATTCATGAATACCATACACAGACAGATGATGTGAGCACACCCACAGACACAAATACAGGCTATAGTGCAGCACTGTCAGACGGGGCTGGCACAAACCCGACGGCTAGGCCGACGACGGCTAGCCAGCTACCACAGCAGTAGCAACAGCCAGTCAGTAGTGGTGCTTGCTTGCAGGGGAAGCGGGTGCGAACGCGAGCGGATACACACACCACACGCGCGGGCGAGGGGACGGGGGACGTGGACGACAACGGTGAACAACCCACCAGAGTCGTCGCTGTCGTCGACCGCCGCCAATTCACCGAAGCTCTGAGTTGACATTACACGTGGTGACCGATATTTGAACAAATGTTTCTCGCCGTGCTCGCTTGTCACCACAATGGATCGAACAACTCCGTTCGCGTGGAAAGCTCTTCGAAGCCGTAGGATTCAAGAGATACCCCAATAGCTAGGAAAACCTGATTGACCAGTTTTTTTTCTTAAGAATTACTCTCACACGATACCATTAGTTCACATAGTTCTCTAGAACCAATGAGCTCGTTCACACCTAAATTTTCTCTATGGGATCGAGTTTCGGCTCATTCCAACTCCTTTGAAACATCTAGGGTTTGTACAGTAGCTTAAGACCAGTAAACCCTGCCAGACTAGGGACAACATGAGATGTCCCTGATCAAACTCCCAAATCCGACCCCGCCAACTCAGAATTGGGAGAATGATCATTCCCCTAACAAATCCCTCGCCGTTTCCCACTGATAGTTAGCCTATCATCATCCGCTTCACATGGTATCGCATTTCCAGCCAACGCTCCATTTCATCGACATTTCGACAACTTCCCCAAATGCAACAATTCCCCATCGGGCGAATCAAATCTGTATTGTAGCTAGTTGGTTAGAAACCGGATGCTTAGGGAGCTAATAGGGTGGGGCTGGTATGTGAAGGGCGATTGTTCTCGTTTGTTCGTCACAGCCATCCACGGTGACACGTCATCGCACGGCGAAATCCCCATAGGGAGGAACAGGCTTTTTGGAAGATGAACAATACAGGAAATACTTAGTCAGCGATGCGGCTGACTTGATCCGTAGATGATGGAATAGGAAGAATCTGGGAGCTCCTGAAGGGAAAACGAGAAACCCTGCGGCGTTCCTTGGGACCACACAGCTCGGCCGCTGGCCGGCGGTGTACTTGGAAAAGCGGCCAGCCACCAACATACCATAGGTGGGTAACATGCCGGCAATTCCTTGTTTGTCGAAATGTCACAGTAACGGTAATCGATCAATAAATCGAACATGATGGCGATTAGTTTTAACAGTACTCCTTATCAATCAACAAGCTTCGGGTATAAGGATATCTTTCCAGTCCTCAGAGTTTTACTCAGACAATTCGATGTGTTCCGGCTTGGATGGGGTAGCGATCGATAATCGATCAAAACCTTGGCGAACAATGAGGACAGCGCGAAAACAGTGAATAGGGGCACCACAGCCTATTTGTTTGCACACCATAACATAAAAAAAACTCCCAGATGGCTGTTATCCATGCCCGTGAATAAGCTTTATCGAACTTCCTGACTTTTTTGTGGGAATAACAAGTATGGGGACCGCCTAGCTTAGTCAAACGTTCACTTTCAAGGAAACAAATCATTTGAGAAAGTCATTCAACACCTCAACGTTTCACCAAACAGCAACAGTGGAACGGTGCCACCTAAGAAATGGTTTCCATTGAATTTCAAGACTCTTTTTAGGCTATCTGCTACGAACGATCGATCCCCAAGAAGACCAGAAAGACCTATTGAAACCATTTTCGATTGGAAACGGATGAAAGGTAGAAAAACGATGGATAAAAAAGAATAATTGATCCCCGTGATGAGCCATGCACAATACTAGCCTTAAAGGAGTGTAGAAGGTTACCATATCTACTCTACACAAAGAAATGTGAGACAATTACGGTATCTGCGAGAGGCCCAATAAGCCCTACATCGTCCACGAAGATTTTTCATAGGGCCATGACTCCATCCACACCCATTGGGTAATCTGCAATTACCATTCTTCAAAAATACCAATTAATCAAAATTCCCCGCTGGTTCGTTTTTTAAAAAATGCATTACTTGAGAGTAAACGAAATAGGGAGAGATACGGTAGTTTACGGTAGGATTTGATTCAACTTTTGGAATGGTAAATCAAAGTAAAAGTGGTAAATTGATAAAGTTGAAACTACAACCACGGCAAATCATACTCTCATTTAATCACAACTAAAAACTCATTTTATTAGCCCCGTCGAATTTCTATTATTGATTTCTTATTTATTGATTGATTTTTAGGCCGAAGGTGATTAGATCCGAAGTATGAGATTCCCAACAACCCTAGAGAAGCCTTCGCCTGAATGATTGGTGCAGAAGAGACTCCGTACTCCTTGACACTTGAAAGTAATCCCACACAAGAAGCAGGCTTTTTTCTGTCTAATGACCACTAATACCTAGAAAACTTGGTCGGAGCGTGGAGAACTTGTTGCACAGCCGATTACTCGGGTAATGACCGCCGACCAATCGGAGGTTTCATCGGGTGAACAGGAGAATCGATTTGATGACTGAGGATCCCATGGGAATCACAACAGTTGAAACATATCACAAGTACAAGTTCAGAAATCCATTGGAAAATGTGAATTGGGAAGGCGATCACCTCTACCCTTCGTTTTTACACCCATTTTCCAAAATGTACCCATTTCCCAGTGAAGGTTTTTGAATACTAGCCAATATCAGAACCTTCTGCTTATCATAGCTGTCGGTCCCATAGAGATTGAGCCTAACTGTACTGAATCGTACCTCAATTGTTCGTAAAATTTCTGACAAAACTGATATGAGGGAATTTTATTTCATTTCCATTTTCAACTTAATTCCCAATAAATTCCAGAGCTATGCATTAGCTAGGCTGTTCATCTGATTGACTACGATATGTACGATTGGAATTCGAAAAACTCGTCCCGACAGTGCAGAACTCGTCCGCAAACCGGTTGCTCAACATGAGGCTTCATGTTTCCAATAGTAGCCCCTAACTGTAAAAATGTATAAGTTTAAACATTTTTATTAACCTTATCTACTACGTGATGGTTTCTGAACTGGTTAGAAGCTATTAGAGACCATCCAAAGACCAGCTTTTATTGACCGGCTCAAAATGCCCAATTTATGGGCATCATAAACGGTTTAATGTTAGCCAGGTGGCCATAAACTATGCAATGACCTTTTCATTCTATTAGGGCCCATTTCAATAGTTAACTAATTGATGACTCCAGTGGGCAATCTTTTTTCACAGGAACTCTGAACTCTGAGTACCATAGTTGTTAAAGTGAAGAACTTGGTCTGGTTCACCCATGAAATCAGAGGAAACCCCAGAAAACATAAATAGGGCGATCAACAGGGCGATTATGTTCTGGCGGATAGGTCCAAACCTGAATTGAGATTGATTACTGGTCTTTCTACTGCTTTTCCACGAATAACTCAGGTTTTCAAATTCTTTCTATTCACAGGTCCATAAAAGGATAAATTGGGAGTTATAATTCTACAAAACAGCCACCGTTATGTACGAATATCTAGAATGTTCCGATTTTGATATTGTTTATTCAGCTGTACATCTACAAGGGCACATCCTCGATGATGTATTTGGGAAATTAATCGATATAAAAGAAGACAAACAGTGTGGAGGGTTTCAGAGCTCTTCGGCTTTCACACAAATCTTCTTTAATATCTTATTCATCCAAAAATCCAACCCACTCACCGATCTGCATAGGATTTGAGTGAGATTCGTGGGACCGTATATGTCCTGAGAGCCTAAGAATAGTGGCCACCGTAGACAGAGTCAAGAATTCACTCGAAATAACTCAATGGGGCTAAGGAGAGATGTTCTGTAATCAACAGAAAATCGGCTTCCTTCTATAGATTTCCTCCTAACGCCCGGAACTCCCCGTACTTACATTCAAATAAAGACAATAAATTTTTAAAATAATGAATTTCTCTGAAGTGAACTCTAGCCGACCCTCTTTTTTTCCACTTAATTCCGAGAAATTTATGTTCGCCAGGTTCTAGCTGTCTTCAAAATCGCTACTGTTAATTACAGTATTCCTCTCTTGTCACAATTGAGTTCGTGAACTAAAAGCCAAGGGAAAAAATCAATATCCGTCGGGGGTACGGTACTTATACTTGGCCAACTTTGGAACAACCGTGCAAAAGTGCAGGTAATTGTATTTCCATTGCAAAGCAAAAAGTGATTGTATCTATTGTAGCTTTTCCAGGAATTTGGTAGTTAAACAAAGTGATCGATCCCTAGAGGCCAACCATCCACCCTAAAAAAACGTATGGCAACGGCAATGGCTTGTCCCATATCTCTACGCCTACGAACCATAACCATCATGAAACGGACCTAAAGACGCTGTCAAGGGTGACGAAGCATGTTCAGTTTTTGTCAGTATAACTTCTTGACTCTCTCTTCAGAGCACGACCCCTTACCATTACCAATAGCCTTAGAACAATGACAAGCGGGTGCGTGTCAAGTCCATTCGGCTCGCATTTAACTTCCCAATAGGGCGCTGGGCTTCATATGGATTGCATGAAATGGGGGTAATTCGCGTGATGACGTCGAAGTTGACTAGTGGTGTTTCCGTGATTGACCTCAATATTTGGTCGGCACGAAATTGTCCACTTTACCTGACCTCGTGTGATGGTGGTGGTGTTCGGGTGGTAGTTGGTATACACACGCACCAGTCTGTGAATAAACTGGTAATGGGGGAAGTAGACAATGAGCGCCACTTGCATGTACACATACATTCGCACGTACACGACAGAGAAAAGTTCAACAGACGCACAAAATGGGAAAAAAACGGTAACAAAATCGGTTACCATGCAACAAGACGGATGAGCGAGCGAGGCGTCAAAATCGGTGACCAGAGAAATGAAATTACTAGTAGATGGAGTTGCAGCCGAATAGCAATTTCGAGATTTTTCGTCGGTAAGATGTGGAGGTTGACGAAGGGTCAGTACTTGATCAGCACCACGAGGACGAGGACTGTCTTCGAAGATACCGCCGCCACTAGCAAATACTGAGTGAGAGCCACGTGAAGCTGTCATGGCGTACAGCGATTGAGCGGCTGGATTTGCAACCGGATCGGCTAGATAGGCAGCAATCACGGATCCGGGCAGAACACCGTGAAACGACGTCACGGGTACGTCTTCTTCATCGTCTGTTTCGTCACCTGAAGACGTGGAATCTACATCACCGTCACCGGATGAATGAGAGAATGTGGAATGGCGGCTCTGATGGAATTCCTCGTCGTCGTCTTCGTCGCCATCGACACTTCGTTTCTTGGCCTTCTCGAAATCCTTTGCTTTCAGTGTCGGTTCGTCAGGTGCTCGTGGAGTTGTCGTCGACTCATCGGCATGACCTTCAGAGGTCACCATGGCAGCACGGTAAGAGCTGTAAATTTTGACGACGGGTTGGGATAAAATGCGCAAGGCAACTGTGGAGTGAGCTTGGCGACGAGTTATGAAATCGCCGCGATCGATTCGGGATTGGAGTGCAGGTGGGGACACAACAGACTTGGCAACGCTCCAGTCTATGGCAGGTGAGGCGTGGCCACCGATGGGGAGGCGGGGTCAGCGGTTGGAGGCGCTCCGTTCGGGCGGCGGAGGGGCGGGGCGAAGAGACGAGTCGAGTCGAAGCTACAGAAGCGTATAATCGACCATGGATACATGCGCCAGTTGCCCCTTGTGTATCGATCTCTGACACCTCCCCTGGGGCTTCGAGCTGGATGGGTGCTGGTTGCCCAGCCGGCCGGCTCCTCGGTTGCAGCGGTCACACCAAGAAGTCAAATATGGAATGAGAGAGAGGCTAGAGACTGCTTAGTTGACGGTCCAAGTGGGCTGGTTGTCAAGGGCAGTGGGGCTGTCTGGCATGGGTAGCAATCGGTGAATGGCAGCTTGACTTGAGGTAGATTGAGATGGAATAAAAACCAGAGCGTTAAGTAGGTATTTAAATGCATGAAAATTGACTAGGTTCGACAAACAGTGAGGTGTGGGTGCTGTGCTGGGAGCGGTCAGAGATGGCAGTGGTGGTTGGATACCTGATTTCTGAGCAGAAGCGGTGCTGACGATTTAGACGAGCAGAGTAAGCGAAGCAGACGAGAGTGACCGTGCGAAGCGGCACAATGTAACGGCGTATCACCATACTACAACCAGGTCAATTCAATTGACTTCTGGTATTTGGGATGGCAGTGCTGAAACCTACTTACCTGATCTTGTATACTGGAACTTGCCCCTCGTTCCAGAAGTACATGGACTACGTCGTGATGTCCGTGACGTGAAGCGATCAGTAAGGAAGATTCACCGTTCTGAAAAAATCCCAGTTAGTTACCAACTGATTACTCTGCCAGTGAGGGATTGCTGCTATGGGTAAAGAGGCCCGTATAAGGGTAGATGTTGGATTCCCTCGAGTATTTACCTTATTCAAGGCGTTCACGCTGACTCGTTCATTGGCCAACACAGCGACCACATTCGCATGACCACTTCGAGCAGCCCAGTGCAAGGGGATCTCACCTGCAATTATTCAAATTACTCTGGAAATAGG